CACGCACGCACGCGCGCACGCACGCACGCACGCGCGCACGCACGCACGCACGCACGCACACCCACACACACCACACACACACACGCACACACACAAGACCCACTAATAATAATATATATACCTATATATATATGTATGTTTATATATATAATATATTATTATACCTATATATATATACTATATTTCCCCTATATATATTATAATATAGAAAGTAGGCATAATGTAAGTTGCCCCCCTCGTACATCGTCATTTATTGATATTTAAGACAATTCCGTTGTACATGACGCATTCAGGACGTTTAGCAGCCGGTGCAGGCTTCACGTGTGTAGACATGCGATTGTCGCGCGGCGGCTTTCCTTTCAGCGGTGGCCATGTATTGTACACGTCGATCCGTGGTAGTCGGGGAAGCGGAGGCCTCGCATGCTCAGGTCAGAGTGCGCGGGTGACGTCCGTTCTCGATGGACAGCCGTGATCTTCGGCTTGCAGGGGCCTAAAGACACAAGGCATCGGAAGGCTTGGTACGTGAGGGCGTAGCAAGAAGTTGGGTTAGGGAAAGGGAGCTCAGATGAGGGAAGACACTTGGAAACTACGGTTCGGTGCGCGCCAACGGTCATTTGCAGTGAATATGTGTAATTGTGTTTGCGACGAACTGATACTACACATGGACAGTAGTCACTCCGTTACGGGAGTGCTATTGCTATTGCTATTGCTATTGCTATTGCTATTGCTATTGCTATTGCTATTGCTATTGCTATTGCTATTGCTACTGATGCAGAAATCACTCTCAATTTTAGAAACAACCGCAGTGAACGCGAACTAAGTAAAGCGAGTGGTTTTTGGTGAACATTAAGCAAGAGCATATACCAGTCAATTTTGCGGGTAACATACTAACATTCACATACCAGGGTGCCCAGCGAGTGTACTGTTCGAGAGCCAAAGAATACACGCATGACGATAACTAGATAGTATTTAGGCGTGTGCCTATTGGATAGAGAATAAAATGTTTTGCGTCCGTGATTAGCTGCGTCAGACTCATTGATCAGCGATTGCTAACAAGAGCACAAGATGGCGCCACCTCCCCATACATGATGAGCCATCAAATTAGATAGGGTTATGAGCGTTGACGAGGCTGTGCCATCAAACCTTCATCGACAAGCCTACAGACATTCATGTTTTATAGTTATTATATCTCGTGGAAGCAATAGACGTGAATGCTATAAATCTCGCGCGCGCAAAGACGCTTGCACGCGTACGCACGCACGCGCGCACATACACATGACGATCGTACAGGATATTATTTACTCTATAATTACATATTAATAATTTATGACCCGATCCTGTATACGAAAAACTGTTTACGCACGGCCTTCATATATTATAGGGAAAAAAGGCATCGTATATGTACCTAAGTATATCTCCAGGTCTCGTAACTCGCGTACGTGTTTGCAACCAATCAATAGTTACCACTCCACTCATAATACGAGTACGCGCAGAGTTCATCATCATCCTAAATCTCCCCCTCGTCACCGCAAACATGCGACATGTGCGCGAGTGATTTTTGCCAATCCGTCAGTGCCGTCGATGGCCTGGCTGGCTGGCTGGCTGGCGTACAATATCTGCATGTTCGCTGTGTGAGCAGCAGGCAATGCCGCTGCTTCTCTGCTGCTCATGCACAGAGCTAATTACAGCAGTCTTACATAATGACACGGGCATGTCGACACGTATCACGGGGTATTTTTTCTCGTCCGATGTTGGTTTCAAGCGAGACGCACGCGGCATGTGTTCAAGATTATTCATCACGATCTCGCTGTTAGTTTTATCATCGCGTGGCCTCGCGAGATGTTTATAATGCACGCGCGTCATTTCTTTTTAATAAGGACAAGGGTAACTAAATTTACATTCGTTGAAACTAGCTGTTTATGACGTGATACTGAGGGTTATAAATAATGAATTCATATGGTAATTGATATGGTTAGTGTGATCTTCCGGTCCTGTGCAAATTCAAGTCTCATCATATAGTAGTGCAGAAAATATTGTGGTATATATGTATAAACATGTTGAAAGTTCAACCTCTACACTTAAGGAATTATGGCGTGGTTGTTTGGTTTAGGTGATGTTACTAGCTGCATGCATGAAATTACAATATATACGCATAAATTAAACAAATTTAGCAGCGAGTGCGCGAATGATCATTTTTCGTTAGTTCGGTATTATTTGCTCGTTTTGTCAGAAATTATAACAATAAATGTGTTAAATTGTCATTCAAGTTTCAGCACCATTCGTTGACTGCGTTACGTCTATATGGAGTAGTATAGTCGATATAAAATTCTCGCGAACCTTGTCGCGGTTGTGCTGCGATAACACGCAGTGCGGCACAGCCTTTACTATATAGGTCTCCCCCCGTAAGTTGTTAAAATGAGTTTACTAAAAGCTTTTACATCGGCAGACACGTTCCAACGATGACTTCGCGCCCGCGTAAATGCGGCGATATAGAGCAGCGAAGCATTCCTCCCGTAAAGCACGACGGCTTGTTGCCGCGGTTCATCTCGGCGTGATCACATCGTCGATATACGGCGCGCGGGGAACCTAAACTGTCAACATCGTCTCCCCAAGAGAAAACACGCATTAGCCGCCGGCGGGTATCGCTGACAGCGCCGCCTAGCGTGGCTCTACCTGATCCGGCTGGCTGGTGCACTCGCGGCAGAGACCGTTGTCGTGTGCGGCGTTGTAGGCGTAGCAGCCATCTACGGCGATCGCCTCGCTCCAGCTGATGCGCCGCAGAGTGTCCTCGTCGTACCAGCTGCAGACCTATACGAAACCGAAAGTAGCGTAGCGCGTAAACTTGCGGTGTCTAAAGGGTCACGCGTGCAAAAAAGCGCCACGCTAGACGCAGAGCGAACGCGCTGCCATAAACGCATTGGAAAAAACAACAAGCGTAACGATGTTTCAAAACAGCATCGGCCACACGTTTTGAATTATACCTGCAATAAAAGGACCTCCCAACCGCATCGGTTCAGAGTCGCTCAGTTCCAAACAATTCCACCATACAATCGACCATACAACCATGCCAGTCGACCATACAATTACCGCGAGCAAAGCTCATTCAATTCTCGCTCATAATTGGAACGACGAGAAAGATGGAAAAACGAATCGCTTGAATGGAAGAAAACCCGAGCAAAAGACGCGATGCTTACAACTCGACACGCTGTTAACGGCGTGATTATTATATGTTCGCTTAACCTTTACGGATATCCATCTTGTTGCCTGTAAGCCATTATCTTCGCGTCGTATTATGTTCACCGCTAGCAACGTGACTTATCCGCCGCGTGTCCATCAAGTCTTTGTCAATTAGTAAATGGCAGGCATCAGCTTCGGCCGCACTATATCTCACCGAGCACCGTATTCTAAGGGGAAGCTGATGACTTGTTATTCGTCTACGTGTCACCGACGGTGCATGTGCAGCCCGCGACAACGGAAACGTTTGTGAACCTGCACGTCGCGAATACATCGGCTAATTTTCATTTCCCAGCGAGGGGTAGACGTGTAGCGAGGCATAGGGTGTCTCCCTCTCACACACGCGCATAACGTCAATAGAGAAATAATGGGAATCTCGCGTCCGTTCTCGAACGCGAATTAGCAACGAAGATGCGCGGATATTAATTGGCGAGGCGCGATGCATAGATAGATATACGGTTACTCGGTGGTGGCGAGAGACTGACTAGAGTTTATGCTAGGGTTAGCTGTTCGCTAGACAAGCAGCAGCCCCCGGACGCGACCGACCCCAGGCGACTCTACATGTCAACACAAACAAACGACCGAGAACATGACAGCATGTGTCAGCGCGCAGTCAGCAATCGCGACGAACAGTATACTACACGCACGCACCCCCTTCCCCCACACACACATACACACACCCCACGCACACGCACACGCACACGCACGCACGCACGCATGCACGCACGCACAAACGCACGCACGCACGCACGCACACACATACACGCATACGCACACGCACACGCACACGCACACGCACACGCACACGCACACGCACACGCACACGCACACGCACACGCACACACACACACACACACACACACACAGCTGCGCATGCTGGTACGCGTGTCCTACGCCCCGGCGGGGTGACATCATTGCACATGTCACTCACCCTCCATCCGTCACCGCAGAGGTGACTGCTGTTGTGCACATGCCCTACCCAGCTACCGCTACATGCCGCCAAGTACTTGTGCTGCTCCAGTCCCTCCGACGTCCCGTCTGCACAGCCAGCATCTGCAAGCAGTATACGTACCAACGTTTACATGTCTAATCAACTAACTAAATAACTGAATAACTATAAATATAACTATAAATATAAACTGTAACTATAAATATAACTATAAATATAAACTATAACTATAAACTAATAAAAATGACTATAGATAAATAACTAGATAACGAACACGTTTGTTTAGTAAGAGCAACGCAAGTATTTTATTATTATGCGTCACTTCTACGATCATGTACGTGTACGTTTATTCACGTGACCAACTAAATTCACAGTAGATGTATACTTGTAGACTTGGCACTGTCGTACATCATGCACGTACAGAAGCCACGTTCACATACATACATGCTCACAGAGAGAGAGAGAGCGAGCGCGAGAGTGAGAGAGAGGGAGAGAGAGAGAGCGAGCGCGAGAGTGAGAGAGAGG